ATGTTAGATGATAAAACTGAAAGTCCTTATAAAGAAAATAAGATTGTGGTTAGAGATGAGTTCTGCTCACTGAATACCCATATGTGCCCACATTTGCTAGCTCTTACCAGCAGGAGAATCAATGGAAGTTGTTCTCACTGCACCAACTGCACAGGTTTTTGGGCCAAAAACATTAAGGCTAGTTCACAACTTTCTAACTTTTTTTTAACACAAAAACAAACAAACAAAACAAAACAACCACTGCAAGTCCCTACCAGGATGTATCCCTCCCCAGGCTGCATAAAACAGCTCACCCACTGACTCAGCAAAGGGAAGGGCTGTCTGAAGTTCATTTATCACATTGGGATTTATAAAGCAAGAAGAAGCTAGTAGTTGTGCTGAACCTCAGACATGAAGTTTACCAGACACTCTACCATAGTCACCAAGTGAAATGCCAACTTATGGAATCTTACTTAACAAATCTAAAAAAAATTCATTCCATTATTAAGAGATAAGATGGTCCTTCCAAGGTAAGACTATAAACAAAGAACTTAGGCAAACTAGGCTTAATAAAGAACTTCCCTGCAGTAGGCCAAAAATAGACATCTACCTTGCACTCAACCAGAGCCAAGAAAACCACTTGTGAGACATTTTTTTAATGGACAGCAATGGACATGGAGTCTCAACTAGATAATTTTATAGATCCATTTGAATGCTAAGGTTTTATGTGTTTGATTGACAATGCATTTCTAACATCCATTTTTAATGAATGCAAGGAAAAGGGGGAGAAATGGCTTATCCTGAGTTGTAACTATTTAATATCATACAGAACCAACACCAAAAGATGTCACTATAAACTCCAACTGACAAAGCCTATCTGAAACACTGAAGAACACAGGAGTCACTCACTCCCTGTGGACAGTCAGCTCTCCCTGTCTTCATTTGCAATACCACCTTTCTCAAAGTATGGAGTAACCCTGAAAGTTTCTTGCCACATCAGCCCAGAGCTCATGTCACAAGACAACGAAATCACTGATAAAGGCTTTGTCCACAACAAAGAGGATGTTGTGTGGCAATTGGCCTCTAATGGGATGAGGTTCAGAAGGAGCTGTTTCTGGACTCTTGAAATTTACTTCATGCAGCTGTCACGCCCCACTAACATCCCTTGTTTAAATTACAAGGATGAATTATTTAACTTCAAAGTTAGGTCATTTCTTTCCCTGAAAATCTGCTGTGAGGGATGGCCACATGTCACACACACTACTGTTGAATAATCCGAAGGGACATCTCTACCACTTGCTATGTGACCTTTGGCAACATACTTAGCTTAGATGAACCTCAATCTCTCCATTTATACAATCAGGAATATACTTTCTATGTTTGGCATGACTTAAGTGAGATCATGTGCTCTATAAGTCAGATGTGGAATCAAATGTAAGGGACTGAAGGGAAAATAGTAAAATAAACACCCTCTGAAAATACTATTTCTAGCCAGGTGTTGGTGTTGCACACCTTTAATCCCAGCACTCAGGAGGCAGAGGCAGGCAGATCTCTGTGAGTTTGAGGCCAGCCTGGTCTACAGAGTGAGTTCCAGGACAAGCTCCAAGGCTACACAGAGACACCCTGTCTCGAAAAAAAAAAACATACTGTTTCTAAAATAAATGTTGAAATATTTAAAAGAAAGAATACATGGCATTAAAAAAAACAAAAACAAAAACAGTAATCCCAGAACTCAGAATGCTGAGACTAAATGTTTCAAGTTTGAGGCTAGTAAGACCTCTCACAAGTTTTGTCTAATTAATGAAATTGAATAAGAATGTTTAAATAAAAAAAGATCAGTTCAGCTTCACTGACTTCATTCAAAATCTTATGATTTCAAAAGTGTAGAAATAACTTAATTCTAGTATATGTTTTGCAGTTTCCTGTTGTTTTTATTCTAATTTCATAAGTATCCTATATAATCTTCTGCGTGTTAAGGGTTTCAACAATTTCTCAGTGTGACCTTGAGTTTATCTTAAATAGATTGAGGAAGTACTGTGAACAAAGGCATATAAAGCCCTGTGACATTTCAATGAAGAATATAAAGAACATATATTGCATATGTCATACAGGTTAATTATATATTTCCTGGTACTTATGAGTTATTCAGAACAGAACTGAGTGAGAGCAATGGCAACAAGTGTTACGCGAACCCAGTTTGGCTGCAAAGACGGAGACTTGGATATATGGTATACTAGAAGGGAAGGTGTAGCTTAGCTACACAAACAACGAATTGTGAATTGTGCCTTCTTTAAGACTGTGACATCAGCACAACTGGAAAAGGATCCTCTGTGTGGCTCACACATGGATTTTCTTAACGTTCTTGTAGAGGAAAGCTCATAAACCCACACCTTACATTCGCAGTGCAAAACAAAACAAAACAAACAAACAAAAGGCATTGTTCTGCTTCTCTCTGATAAATAGGCCCTGGTTCCTTTACTAAAAGCTCTGCACTGATGAGACCAGAAAGGCAGGCAGGGGGTGTCCCCCTTTGTAGCCGCATTCGTTTTTAAAAATGAAGCATAATTTCTGTATTGGATACGAAGATGGGTTTACAGCTATTAGCCATCATATTAATAATTTAGAAAATACATGCCCAATCACTTGTGCTCTTTCAATTCCCTATGAACACAGCTGCAACCCAAATTAGAAGTGAGAATGAGTGGACATTTTTCAGATGAGATATTTGGGCTGAATTATTAGGGTAGCCTTTACTACAAAATTACTAATAAACATTGCTTCTGGCTCGATTTAGCCTGAACTCAGTGAACCTAGCCAATGGTGACAAATCAAAAACTCCGAAAGACCCTATGAATGAATCTAACTAATCAAGGAACCCTGTAGGAAGTAGATGCCAGGATTAATGAGGCAGTAGTTTCACCAGGCCATGCTGTTATCCCTCAGATGAGATTATCTTTATGTCCAAAAGGAAAAGTAAGGCCACATTCTCTCAACTGACAGGTTAACTACGGCCATTAGAAGAATACACATCTGTGTGAGCTGAGTTTTTCCTTATCTCAAAAATTAAAACACCAGGTCCACCACACAGATTAAAAATATATTTTCATTTTCGGAGTGAAGAGTCATTGAGAGCAACAAATACAAATTACCCCAGAGTCAGAATTGCATCTCTTTCTTCTGTGTGTCTAGATTTGTAAGTTCCTTGATTTATCCAAATTGTTGTGCATCCTATTTTATATTCACTATCTAATATCATCTATAGCAGGTTGAATTCCTATATCATATATTTTTCCATCAACCACAAAAGGTAAATGCAACATCATTATTACATTATCACAACATTACTTTCATGATACATAGGCTACTCGGTGCCAATTTGAAGAAGAAAATTAATATACAATGATAAATATGTATATTAAAACAAAGCAATCATATAGTTACACCATAATAGACTTTGACTTTTCTGGCCAGCATGTAGTGACAGCTGTCAAATAGGTTACTCAGCAAAAAGTACAATTCACCAGAGGCTAGACATCTAGCTTGTTGTCCTCATCTAACCTGCATTCTGATTTTTTACGTCACTACATTCCTTAGTAACCTCAGTTAGAACATTAACAAACTGGAGTCCAGCTTGCTTTCAGTAATGAGTAAAAATAATATGAAATATTCTATTGGGGTGTTTTTCTCCCTCAAAAGGCAAAAATCTTCCATGCTTGTAACTGAGACTCTCAACTGGAACACCTGGGCCAGGTTAGCCTTCCCTGCCCTAATAGCACATATGATTTCAAAATGTTCAGGATTCTCAATGCAAAAAAAGAAAGAAAGGAAGGAAGGAAGGAAGAAAAAGAGAGAAAGAAAGAACAACTATTGCCATAGAAACAAATATTATTCCAGAGTCATGTCAGGTGAAAAACTGTATACTTTCATTTTGATCTTGACAAATAGCCACTGTATTAAAAAATACAAGTGTCTTTGAAACCTTCTGTCACTTTAGTTGATTTGCAACTTCCCATCAGTGTTCTGAGTTAGCCCATTTTTTTTCAAATGAAAGATCCTATTTCCCTTGCCTTTGAGAAATACAAATTTTAAAGATTCCATTTAACATCCTTTATTGCATTCCTACATCATAAAGTTATGCTTTATAGCAACATAAAAAAGCTGTAAAATTAGCATCCTTGTAAACAACTTTCCATGCTCACTGGTGAGGCCATCAATGGTGATTTGTACTGATCACTTAAATACAACTTGATATTATGGTATCCAGAAGGTTTTTTTTAATGCATTAACATAAGACAAGGGAGAACATAAGACAAGTGGAATAGAGTCTTCATCTCTCATGCTTTATAAACATGAAGGCTGTCTTCGTTTTAGGAAATACTCCAAAAGTACAGAAATGTCCCTTTTTTGTCTGGCACAGTGTGCATCTCTGTGGTCCCAGCACTCCAAAGGCAGAGGCAGGAAAAACACTTCCAGTTCCAGGACAGATCCTGTCTCAAAACAAAAAAAATTGCATTTTAATATGAAATCCAAAATAAGCGACTTTCCCTTGAAATGTTAATATTTCTTTAGAAAATGTAGTGCTAAAATACCCTGTGAACTCACCGACTTTGTCTCTAATTAAAATCCTTTAAGTTAATATGAACATTTTTTAATAAAAACAAAAACAAAAAACAAAAAACAGTCCTCTTTGTCCTCGCCTTTATGGCGACCCTTTGTGCGCTGGTAGTTGAGTAAAGATTACATGTAGCTCTTGAAGTTCACGTTTAGCCCTGTGGCACAGAACTGTAATCTAGAACAAGGGTGCTTTTAGGGTTTACTCTCTGGCAACCAAATGAGAAATTCTCCCATGGGAAGAGGGGCGCCCTCTCAATACCTATAACGACCGTCGGATTTCAGATTGATTTGGTTAGTTTTCCAAAGCAGGGCTGTGATTATCGATTTGCCTCCGATTCTCACACACGCCGGCGGCGACCCTCGCCCGCGGCCTGCGGCGGAGACCGCGGTGTCCCCGGAGCACGTGGCTAACTTCGAGGACAGGCAGCGCCGAGCGAGCGAGCGCGGGCCAGCGGGGGAAGCCGCGGGGAGCAGCCGGGGGTCACGCGGACCACACCCGCTTCGGATGCCCCGTTTGCCCGGGCGAGGGCTGGCAGGACACCTTGGGGAGTTGCACCCAGGCTCCCCGCGCCCGCAGCCCTCACCTCAGGCGCCCTGCAGCCCGGGTCCGCGAGGGGCGCCCTCTGAGCTCCCGGGTCCGACCGACCCAGTCGCCACAGAAGCGTCTCGACTCTTGACCCCGCGTTGCCCTCCTGCCCTGCCCAGAGCCCAGCCTTAGGCCCAAAGCCTCGCGAGACTCTGAGCTTGCATGGAAAGCTCCGGGTCCGGCACAGCAGGCAGCCTTGCTGTGGAGGCTGGGGAGGCATCACAGTGCTGCCCAGAAAGTAAACCCAAGTCCCTGCAGGGGCGAAAGGCCCAGGCACCCCAGCACCCCAACCACCATCGCTCAAGTTGAGATCAGCCCTCTCCTCGCTCCTCTATGACCCTCCATCCTGCTGCCAAAGTTACACCAAAGCCCATCGTTCTCTGTATCACATACTGAAAATGGTTTTATTTTTATCCATTTACATTTAACTTGATATAAACTTGTCCGGAAAAGTCAAATAATATGCTTTATATTAGCTCAAACATTTATTAAGAAAACCAAATTCCATAAATAAGCACAGACAATAAGTTAAAACATATCACAAATTGACCAGTATGTAACAAGAATGCTTTATCTACACAAAACATCCTATTTCACATGTTTGTTCATTCTTAGAAAGCGCTTCTGTTCTCTGGGTTTGGATTTGACCAGCACATGCAGAAGGAGCTGATTGCGTTTCTCTGTACACAGTTGCAGGGTTGTAGATGTCCGCCTGCACCCGCCGGCGGCCGGCAGGAGGCCCCGAGGGGCACGGAGGACGCGATAGATAGGACGACCACAGAACAACCAAGGGCACAGAGGAGGAGAAGAGAAAAACAGGAAAGGAAGCAAACGAACACCAGTCCTGAAGGATCTAGAAAAGAGATGTGGCTTTTGCTTTTACAAAAGGAAAAAGAAAAAGAAATCCCTTACATGTGTATTTTGTTCTTCCTATAAAGGCCTATCAAAATGGGAAAGATCACCTCTTCCTTCGTCACATAACTGCTATAGTCTGCTCCAGCCACCCAATCCGCTGGCGTGTTCCTCCTGAGAAGCCTTCCCTTCTGTACCCTCACACAGTTGTGCTTAAGAAAAGAAAAACCGAGCTATAACGAAAGCGCTCTTTTGCAAGCCAACAGAGGGTTGCATGGGTGTGACTGGGTAGACAGGGTAGGGTGGTGGTCCGGGAAAGAAAGAGAGGAGTATCGGAGAAAGAATACAGGCTAAATCAAATTACATCAGTTGGGCCCTCAGATGAGGCGGTTGGTAGCAGATGCTTGTCCACCTTTAAGACAAAAATCCCTAACATTGTGCTGTACCTTGAACACGTCCGTGTTGTGACCAAGATGCACTGTGTGTATGTGTGTGCGTGTGTGCGCGCGCGTGTGCAATGTGTGAGCGTGAGCTACGGTGCGAGTGTGTGCATGTGTGTGTGTGTGCGTGTGTGTGAGTGTGTGTGTGTTTCTGCCCACAAACCAGTCCATTGGTGTCTGATTTCAGATCCTGAGTCGACTCCCTGGTAAGTAAAATGGCGGGAAGGATGCTTTTCTGCCGGGCGCGGGAGCAGGGGCGTGAGGCGCTGGGAGAGAAGGAGCCCGGAGGGAGGCGCGGGCGAGGCGGGGTAGTGGGGGCGGGTGGGGTGGGGGAGCAGCGACCCAAGTGTGGCCGGGGACGCCGCCTGGCAGAGGCCGGGAGGAGGGCGCGAGCACGACCCGGGCAAGCGGGAGGCCGGGGCGGCGGGCAGCGCCTGGCTAGGGGAGCCGGGCGGGAAGTGGGGAGGGAACTTGGGTGGCGGCCTCGCTGGGGCTCGGGGAGGACCGGGGACACCGGGCGGGGGAGCTGGGAGCCCGGCGCGCGCGGCCGGGGGTGTCGGGGTGTGGGGTGGGGAAGGGGACGACGCCCGGGCGGAGCGGGCTGCGCGCAGCGGCATTAGGTGAAGCTCATGGAGACTGTGTGCTCGAGCGCCTTGCGGCGCAGGGACGCGATGCTCGTGCCCCGCCACACGTCGCTGCTGTCCGGGGAGCTGCAGAGCTGGGGCGAGCCGGAGACGTTGCTGGGGCCGGGGAGGGAGGCGGGCACCATGCCGGGGAAGGCGGGCTGGTAGAGGTGCGACTGCAGCCCCGCGCCGTTGGAGCCCGCCAGGCTGTTGGACAAGCCCATGGAGTTGGGCGGCGGCCCCGCAGCCAGGCTGCACTGCGACAGCGACTGAGCCATGGCCTGCTGGCGACCGAGCGCGGGCGGCAGCGGCAGCTGGGACACGCCGGGCATGGCGGCCGCCGCCCAGCGGGTGTCGTTGGCGTGGAAAGAGCACAGGCTGTCGCCCATGGCGGCGGCGGCGGCGGCGGCGGCCGACGGGAACTGGGGCAAGCCCGGCGTGGGCAGCAGCGTGCCGGGCGCGCGGAACACGTTGGTGGTCTTCTTGCGCTTCTTCCACTTGGCGCGCCGATTCTGGAACCAGACCTGCAGCGGGCGGGGTGGGGAGACAAGAGCCGGCGAGGTTAGCGAACCGGGTGCGGAGCTCGAGTCCCGGAAGCCTGGCTTCTCACGGTCACTCAGCCCCTGGCTGAGCCCGGTGCTCCGGGCTCGACACGCCCCCCCCCACGAGCTCCGGGTTCTCCGCCTCCGCCGCCGCACGAAGGACGCCCCTTGGCCGCCACCAAACGCAGACTCCGGAGCTCTCAAGTCGCGGTGCCCACTGGCGCGGAACGCACCGAGCACACAGCACCCACAGGCACCTCCGCTGTGCAGCGCTCACCACCCCCTGCACTCTGGCATAGTCTGCATTGTACAGATGCACCAGTCTGGAGGCAGGCATGTGTCAAGGCTCGACCCACAGGTGTACAAATGAAGATAAACATGAGTACCCATGTGGCTTAATAGCGTGCCTTATAGCACTGATGGGGTATAGAATTTTCAGAAACACTGGAAATTTGGAAATTGATGAAAGGCCACGAATGACATAAACAGTTTCAAAATCGAAAGACAAAGGAAACCCCCTAGCATCACGGTTGACAGAGCGGAGAGGTTAATACAGTGACCCGTGTGGCAAAGAGAGCCGCTGAGCTGAGGTGTTTGGTTGCCACCTTGATTTCTGATTCCTCTCTCAGTGCTTGGGGGAACTGCCACAATGCTCCTCCCCATCTCACTCCCAAAACACTCTGAAGCACCTTTGTCTGTGGTTCGGGTGTGCTGGAACTTGCTACCAGAATCCTGAACCCCTGGGCCTTCGATCTGTGCCTTCCAATAACTTACCTCAGATCCCTAATAACATGTCCTCTAATGCCTGCAGATTGCACACACACACATACCAACTCACCTCTCGTGTTATAGACTAAGGCAAATTTTCTGACCAATACAAAGGAAAAGAGGTCAACTTTAAAACTCTCACTGGTCTAATGCAAATTTAAATTTGCTGGGACAATAGACATATCTTTTTTTTTTCTAAGAAAAACTGTTTGATAAAATATACCTCAGACAAACCTCCTGGTGTTTCTTTTCTGAGTTTGGCCCAGGAATTTCTGAGTCTATCAGGTAAATGTGCCTACAAACGTGAAATTCACTATCACAAAGCAAAAATTCCTCTGAAAAATAATAGACAACCTCTCTCACATTAATAATTTCCCATCTCCACCCATTTGAATTTTATCTTTAAGAGGAGGGGGCTCTCAGTACACTTACTTGGCAGGCTTTCCGTTTAAAATCTAGTTAGCTGGATGACTATTGATACTAAATATAAAATGGTGCTGGACAGAGGTCAAATATTGACTAGTCCTGTTAGAATTTGACCAACACAGCTTGCTCTCCATATTTGTGGCCCCAAAAGTGATTTATCTGCTATTCTGATCTGTGTAGTATTTGCTTTGCAAGCTGTGGCATCAGGAATGTGGACCTATTTGCCCTCATTCTTGGTAAACCAAGAATTTCTGGCTGTGTAAGCAGGACCTCTTGGCTAACTGGTGCCAATAGCTTTTCGGTTCAGAATTCATTCTGAGTCTACCCATGTCTTCCTGTCTTACCTGCAACCTCACCCACCTCTTCATCTTTCTCTGGTTTGTACACCATCTCCCACAAGGCTGCTTAACCCAGCATTGGTGATGGATAAGCGTGCTGGAGTCCTTAGCTGCAGCTCTTCAGTTGGTGGCACAGGGATTAATGAGGCCGAGGGGCCCTTGATGGTGGTGATGGGATCAATGTGGCCGGATTGAGCTGTTAGCAGCCTTTGGCCTCAGGTGGAAGGAAAGTGAGAAGACCCTTTGCAGCATTTACCCTACACTAGTTTGGGAGTTGGACAAGAGAAAAACCCTCGACTGACCAAAATGGCCTCCCAGCTCATGTGCAGCCTTCCAGGAACATTTTGAAAAAGAGAGAGTCAGGACCAAATCCTAACCCTCTCAAGAGCTAGTGAGTCCTAAAGGGTCAGTGTTTAGGAGGTGGCAACTTGGGAGAAGAGGAAAAGAAAGAAATGAAAGAAAATGAAAACTATGTCAAACTGCCCAGCAAAATTCCAAGAGCAAACATTGCTGCCAGAAAAAAAAAAAAAAAAAAAAAAAGCCTCTGAGCCCAGTGCCTGCTCAGGCAGATAAGGAAAAGGAGCACTGCAGAGAACTGAATATTAGAGGGATAATCGAAAAATCATGCTCAATTATGTTTGAGGGTTAGTAGTCAAATGATGGCTACAAATTTTTTTATGTTTCATGGCTTACTGAGATTCAAGGGGGGGGAATCCACATGAACGCTGAGCATCTCCATTCCAAGCTATGATGCATATGTTTTTAAAGTGTGAATGTTTCCACTTGAAAACTAGAGCATGACGGGTTAAAATGCAGACAAAACCTAAGGGAGATTTTCAGAATGCACAGATGACAACTCCAAGAAATACATTAACCACAGTCGAAGACCCAACTTTGTACTCCGTTTGAAATGCAGCTTTCCTCAGAAAATGCTTAATACAACAGTGAGAATCTAATGGAGGTTGGAATCTAAAAATCCACTTTCCTGATATCTGCTGTTACAGTAATATAGACATACTGTAAATGTATTTTAAAATATATAACCCGTTTAATTCCCCAGCTATAAATGGCTTAGAAATAGAGAAAGAAGGGGAGAAAGAAAGAATATTACCCCCACACACTTGAAGCAAACGCTTTATGAAGACCTCATTGGAATCCAGCGAATGATTAATGTGAGGATTTGGGAGGAAATCTGGGGAGCTGTATTAACTCCTAGATCTCAGGTTCATTTCGATCAGCCAGCCGTGAACTCTGGGCCGAATTCATTACACTTTAATAGTGCTGGGAGAGGAAGAAAATGCAATTTCTCATTCCATTAGAAAACTAGAAAATACTCTCAGCTTGTCCCCCTATTAAGATGTGGCAGGTGACAGGGCCATTCTGGGGGACACGGTCAATGGAATTACAGCACATTATTTTTGTTCGTATAAAATATTGAAAGGCAAGCCTGACTGTGCAGAAGTTATTTCACTGATTTGGTTTTTATGTAAATAAAATATTGAAAGTTAATTAATCCGTGCTAGAGACTAATGATTATGCTTATTATATTGCATTTGATCGCATAATTTGCATGATTCTCGCATTGCTGCTTAATAAGCCATTCCAGGTTATAAATAATTCTGAAATTGGTTTCTAATAATGGCATGCTATAAAAGGAATGGTTTTATTACAGTAGCCAGAAAGGGGGAGCGATATCATACACAGAATTGGCCTCCATATGAGTAGAGGTGCTTTAGTAAATACTTCAAAGTGTGATGTAGTCCAGATAAAGACAAAAACTAAGAATATTGGATAATTTAGTCTAAAAAAAGCATCTTTGAAAACATACAATTGCAATAAGTTAAATGTTTAGATCATTTTTAATCAGTGCAGTGGCCCACATACTGGAAAGAATGTGTGGCAATCTGTTAACTATAAAGGAAACTATGAAGCACTCATCATATAAGAATGTAAACCAATTACTATTTAATTTGAATTTGGTCAAGGAGCAATGGTACAGTGAATTGTGAAGTAAATACATTTTCCATAAATTATTTTTGCATTACATTACATAATGTTAATCATTTTGAAATGTTAATTAAGAAGGTTATGTTGATCTGATTACTTTTTAAACTATGAAACATTATTTTTTAAAAATATTGAAATTGCCATTCTATTAAATTGTTTCTATCAGTGGGCTCAAGCTATTATCTTTGGTTGAGCATTATGCTAGAACAATTAACATACTTTGTCTCTTTCTTCTTAAATATTCTTTTGTGTACTTTTTGAAAATAACTACCATACAGTGTATATTTTATTTCATTTATAACTTTTTCTATTAAAAGAATCACTGCCATTAACCTTTGGAAGACCTAATAAAGTTTAATAGACCTCATTTTCTTTTTTCATAAAATCAGCCATCCAATTATATTTTATTTGTGATTCTAAGTTCTATTTTAATTTGAACTAATTACTAACATGTCTAGGTTAAGACCAGCACTGCATTCTTTAAAACAAAAATTAATAGCTAAGATTTCTCTTGAGAACAAAAAGTAAATTTGTGAACTTTCATTCTCCAGTATTGGGCCCTCAATCAAGTGTTATCATTGACATGTGTTGAGACTGTACATATCTATAACAGTTTGAGACCATGCTTAAAAGGATTGTAAGGTGAAGACTTAAAGAACAGGAATACACCTGAACAATGTAATTAGTACGTTCCATATGTGTAATGTCTGTGCCCCGTCATTCAGACTTTGAGTTTACCAACAAATACCAGACTTGTGCTGAATAAAAATATTAAACATTGTGAATATTTATCTATTAATTAAGTCCCTGGTGATACTTGTTTCTTACTAGAGCAAAAGTAGTATTCCCGTTTAGACGATCTACAAAATACCGAAATGGAACCAAATTCTGATTTCCTGGTCAGTCAAATGTAAACGAACTGAAGTTCTTAAAGTTAATTTACAAAATCAGGCACTGGCTTGACAAATTAGTCATTTTGCACCCAGGATACTGGACAGAAAAAAAAAAAATGTCCCAAGTAACGACGAAATGTTTTCAGCACCGTGGATAGCTCCAGGTTAAGTGCAAGGTTTCACCCAAGCGCCCGCCTTTGTAACAGTACCAGTCAGTCTTTCGAAAAGGAAAAAGAAAGGAAGGAATTTGGAATTCATTAATCTTATACTTTTCTCCCCCAATTTTCAGAATAGGCACAGGTGAAATTTCCTAGATTCCATATAATTACAAGTTGGAGGGTGGTTAGATAAAAATCCGGACACTAATGATTTTCTCAATTACAGGTTAATCTTTCTGGCCTGAAAAGTTCCTTCCTCGGGTCAGATACCCGAAAGAGACAGTGCTCAATTCCTGCCTTCATTTTTAGGGGAAATCTAAATTATTTTTATTAAAATTAAAAACCCAGAGGTCATAGATGGGGCGCGCGGTGTGTGTGTGGGGGGTAATTTTCGGCCAGTCCCGCGCCCTGGTAGACTGCACAAGCCAAACCTTCGAAACCAACAAAGCTGAGAGTATTTTGCCTGAAAGATGAGAGGGTGATCTTTAAGAGACTAAAAATCGCCCCCCTCTTTTAAAGGCACCCACTGCATAGTAGTTCTTCTTTCTTGTTTTTGTATAATTGTGACATTTCCCCCATTTACCCAAACTCTTACTAGAAACTCATTCTGGGCAATGAAACGCTAGCCAACAGTGAGAGCTGGAACACGGTGAGCGCCGGGCTGGGCTGCTGGGGAGACAAGGCGGTCCCCTTCTCTCTGGCTCCCTTCTCTGGAGGAAAGAGTCAGCCCGGCATCCCCGCAACGCTGGGCTCGGTTTTTTTGTTTTGTTTTGTTTTGTTTTTAGGAATGGGGGGGTGACTACAATGGAGGAAGTCCACTGGGGCCTGTCGATCATCCTAGCCAGTGTTTGGACAGAGAACGAGCTCATCCCACTCGGGACGCAGTGACAGCCAGAGCGCAGCCCGGGACCCCGGGACCCCGGGACCTGGCTCGCCGTGCTCTGGTCCCCCCACCCCCGTCCCTCCTGGCCTTCCTCCCCTGAGCCCACGCCCGGTGGGTGTACCTGCACTCGCGACTCGGTCAGCCCGATGCGCAGCGCCAGCTCCTCACGCATGAAGATGTCGGGGTAGTGAGTCTTGGCGAAGCTCCTCTCCAGCTCGTTGAGCTGAGCCGGGGTGAAGCGTGTCCGGTGGCGCTTCTGTTTCTGCTGGCCCTGCTGCTGACCCGCTTGGCTGGGGTTGGGGCCGCCCTGGGGCCCCGGTTGCTTGTCTGGGTCTTTGGCGCTCACCGCCAGCGAAGCAGGAGTAGAGCCCACCGTGGTGATGTCCTCGCCCGGCAGCAGAGTGGCTCCTTCGACTGGATCCGAGCTGGGCGCCAGGTCCCCCGGATGGCCCCCGGGGTCAGAGCCCCCCACGCCCAGCCTACACTTCACCGCCTCCCGGTGGCCCAGAAGCTCGGCGGCATCTTTCATACCTGAGGAGGGAAGGGGATCTTGGTCACTACTTTCCCGGAGATGTCTGGAGCGGGTGTCTTCCCAGAGTGGCTCTACTTCAGCTCGCTCGGTGCACACGCTCGCCCTGCTGCGGAAACTGCCCGGACCTCAGCCGGGTTTCCCAGGGTTTGGACCGCTAGGTTGAAATAACATCTCCTGGCCTTCCCCTTCTCTCCACAGCCTGCTCCGCTGGTTCACCGCTCCCGCTTTCGTTTCTCCCACAGAAAAACACTCCCAGGTCCGGCAATAAAACCAGCCCGAGTCCTTTCATTAACTGTATCCCCGGTGTCCCAGGAAACCTTGAGTAAAGTCTTGGACGGGGGATGCAGGAGAGAGAGAAAAATCTAGAGCGACTCAGGGCTAATGAACTCTGGCCGATTCCCTCTGACTTTCAGAAGATGAATATGTCTCCAAGTCTTCCACCCTTCAAAATAAACCCAAATCAGCTCCGCCTCCCCCTCAAATCAGAAAAGGTGTTTGGGAAATGGAGTCACATCCATCACTACAGCTTCTCAAGCCGGAGACCCCAGAACCCGGTAACCCAGATAGCTTTAAAGAAACTCGAGAAAACTCTATAGCCATAACCGTGAATCAAACTTTAGAGAATTCAACTTTTCTCTCCCGATAAATAAACGGCTCGTCCCTCCCCGTCATTGGCAACAGCAGGTCCCTTGTAGAAGGCGGGGTGCCTGGAGGATGCGCTGGGCTGTCTTCTAACCAGCACCTTTAGCAAACCTACCTTCATACAGTCACTTCTCCTTCAGGCCGGATCTTTTTTTTTTTAAAGAAAACCAATTTAACCACACTTAGAGGAGGAGGTGGTAGAGAGATAGCAAGAAGAAAAAAAAAAAGAGAAGAAAGGAATTCCAAATCGAAGCAAACAAGAGTGGAAGGGAGAGAGATCTCCAGACAAATTATCACTGGCTAGAACTCCTTTAAAAAAATATTAAGGGGAGAGAGGAAGAAAAAGAATAAGAAAACAAAAAGTGCCAGCATTCCCAACTCCTTTTTGTTTGGGGATCTACATATTCCATAGATTTTTTTAAGACGATGTTAAAGCAAATTAAACTTTAATACAGCACAATTACTTTTAAAGAAATTAGTCCATTTAGGGCGCATTAAGGTAAAATAAGGAACAAATTGACAATTTCCTGCCCCGGCTTCTCCTGGCTGTCCGGGTGAGAGGCGCTCACTCACCTAGCCTGGCGTCCAGGAGGTCGGCGTGAGACAGCATCGCGCACCGCTCCAGGGCGAAAGCTGTTCCCCCCCAAATTTTAGCGGCTTTAAGTTATTTAAAATAGATATAAGCTATAAGCTATACGATATAGATATATATAGATCACCTAAATGAAAGAAAATTCGGTTTGTGGTTAAAAAGGGGGCTTCTTGCATTATAATGTCCTTTAGAGAGACGGGGAGGTGCTTAACAGTTGAATGAACCCGTGAGCAGCTCGGCGAGGGGACCAATCAGGAGGGCAGCCTGCAAATGTCAGCGCCCGGAGAGTCCCCCACTCCGCCCGCCCGCCCGCCTGCGCCTGCCGGGAGGAGGCGGCGGCCGCAGCCCAGGCAGCTCCAGCCTCCAGCAGCCGCTAAAGCAAGCAGCGGCCACCTTGGCCTCGCCCTGGGCCTCCGGGCCGAGCCTCGGTCAGTCCTTCCCTGAGATTCTCTCTAGGCACACCTTCCCTTTCCTGGTTCTGCCTTGCTCGTTTCACAGGCGCAGGTCAGCTCGGTGTTGCAGAGATAGGATGTTCCTGGAACAGGGGCATTTTAGACGCCGAGCAGGGCATGACCTCCGCGTGACCTGAGAGTCCTACCCCCACCCCCCCTGCGCCAGCTAGGCGACACTGGACAGCTCCAGGGGGGGCAAACCCCAGCCTCTAGAGCCTCCCTAAATTTTGCCACTGCTCTATAAGCCTTCGCTAGGGGGTCCACACTCCTCAGCTGGGCCCTGGGGCCTACTGAACCCCAATGGCACCTCAGGCCTAGAGAGTAAAGAAGCTGATTTGCCCTGTTCTGCCAAGGTCCACGGTCCGCTTTTGGTGGTGGTGATGGGGCGCTTCAGGAAGTAAGCCCTTCTCCAAAACTCCAGAAGCTGCTTTCCAGGACCTCCTGCCCAATGCAATGGGCCTACAGGTCTCTTCCTTGGCTCCCAACCGGCCTCGATCAAAGTTTCTAAGTTCAGTTAGGCTACCAAAGCTACTCAGGGCTGTAAATAAAGTTAACCGCTCTTTATTTTCCTCTTGGATATGTTAAACTCCTTGAACAGTTTAAAGTGCTTTGCACAAGTGAAGCGAACCATTTCTAATGTTCTGATTTTTCAGAGCCAGCCAACAACAAAGTTTAGATTAGTAATATATTTCTAACCAGAGTAATTTTCAAGATCATTAGGCATTTATGTAATTAGTGCCAAATCTATAAGCTTTTATTACGATTATTAGAGTAAAATCAGTATAAATTTGTACTAATTTACTACTGTTTAGACTTGGCTGTCAAGCCCAGAGGTTCTTATTGTAAATGATAACTGAGGAAATTAAGTGCAAAATTCTGTACCGTTTCTGATCTGCTCCCAAACAATCCGTTTCAATTGTATTTGCAGCAGAACATGATGCCCCTTAAAGTTATTTGACTTGTATTTTTATTTGCAACACAAGAAAAATGCCCTCCACCCAAGGCAAAATGAAAACTGATATTTACTACTCCCAACTTGATTAACATTGATTTTTAATTCGAGAGTGATGCAATTAAGATTATTCATTTAGTGCAAATAAAGCTTCCACAAAAGGGTGGCCCTCTGAAGTCTGTTTTAAATAATACCGAACAAATGGCTTTTTTTGTTCGTCGGCCAATTGACTTACACAAAACATTGGAAATGCTGTCCGAGAGCAGATGTGAGAGGGTGTGTGTGTGTGTGTGTGTGTGTGTGTCCCCTTTACTGAGTGTGTGAGAGAGAGAGAGAGAGAGAGAGAGAGAGAGAGAGAGAGAGAGAGAGAGAGAGAGAGAGAGAGAGAGAGAGAAGAGCAAGGAGACAAAGGAGGCTGCGAAGCAACTCTGGAGCAGTTTTGTTTTCTACTTCCCCTCCTCAGCCCTTTTCAAAGTCCTTATGTAGGCAGACACACACACACACACACACACACACACACACACACACACACATACACACACACACGAACGCGCGAGTCCTCGCTGGTGCACATAAGCTTGTGAGTGCAGGGCCTGGGTTTTGGTGTCTCCGAGCGAGCGCTGGACACCGCTCACCAGGGAGCTCCGGACTTGGTGGGTCTGCCGCAGCAGCCCAGGGTACCAAGGCGGCCTAACGGGAGCTGGCTGGGAAGCCGGACTGCGCTCTCGCTCTTGGAGGAGCCCAGGCGACTATAGCACGCCTAGGAGCCTTGGGGGCTTTGCCCGGTGCCAAATCCAGAAAGGTTTCGCCTGGGAGGGAAATTCCAAGCCCAAAAGCAAACTGAGCCCCATCTGATAATAGCAGCTTGGTTTTCTCTGTACAAACCCCCAAATTTGACAAGCGGGTGTGCGAAGCAGGAGAGGAGAGTTCAGCGGCCCGGGGCAGGACAGGACTGTGCGCTCTTCAGGACCTGGCACAAGAGCAAGCACCTGGGGTTGGGCCTGAGTTTCGAACCTACAGGGTGGGGTTTTCTGGGTATTCAGGCCAAGTGGCTAAAGGAGGAATCGGAAGGCGGGATTCTGCAAGCTTAGAGTCTGAGGAGTCCGATTCTTCAGTAACCTGGCTGCTTAAGGGAGAGACCGGGAGGTCACCCGGGAAGAGAACCGGGCCTGGAGCCTACCAGTGTGCGTGCATGTGTGTGTGTGTGTGTGTGTGTGTGTGTGTGTGTGTGTGTGTGTGTGTGTGTGTGTGGTGTGTCTTCATGTCCCGGTCATGCATCAGCCCTGGATCTGCTGTGTCGGTGCCTTGCATCTTCCCACACGCACTCGCTCGTATATTCTGTTTTGTTGTATCTTTCAGGTCGATAAATAAATGTGTAATAGTTAATGTGAAGACACATCAGAGTAATAACAATGGGACAAAATCAAAGGATTATCCATCTCTGTTAGTAACCACTGAATAACAATGTTGCGGCGTGATTGATAGCCCGCTTCATTTTATGACTTTTCTATTGGTCTTGATTTTTATAGCAGTATAAACAAACTAAATCATTTCTTCCAAGACTTCAGAGCATAAGCACCTCGGGGGGTGGGGAGAGTGAAGAGGAAAAAAGGGAAAAGGGAAATCTAAGGGTGGGAGGGGGTGAGAGGGCAGCTTGGGGGCTTTGAGGTGGGGAGGGAGCAAGCTGGGGCTGGAGCCTGGAGCTGGCAACCAGCAGGCGTGGCCGGGAAGCAGAGTCTAGATGTTAAATGCTCGCCCCCACTCCTTGTTCTGGCTCTGCAACTCGGTTTGGTCAATGTCTGAATCCACCTGGGCAGCGCCTGAGATGTATTTACCAGAGTTTTATTCCCCGTCATCTTCCCACGTTCCTGGGGCAGCCGGGAAAGTGCCGGTCAGGCCCATTGCTGTTGATAATTCAAAGCATTTCCCACATGATCATGGGAACTGAAGTCCCTAACAAGGCGAAGCTTTAGCGCAATGGCCCCCAAATCTTCGGAATGACAAGAATGTCTTCAGAAATCACTTCAAAGCAAAGTAAAAGGATTTTCTATGACGGATCCAGTGATTTTTCCTCAATAAATAGGTTTTAGATTGTTACACACACGTAGAAGTGGAACAAAGGGAACTACCAGAAAATATATTGGTTGCCCCTAATAAAATTTATTTAGACAGTTTACTTCTCATAAAAAATAGAGATTGAATTTTGTACAAGAGCCTGCCAAGGGACGATGCACAGGGAAATCTTTTTTCTTCTTCTTTCTACCCTCCTCCCCTTCTCCTTTTTAAGGAAGCACAAAGAGCCTTTAAAGGCCAAGGAATTGGCTCCTGGCTCCCGAGGCAAGAGCACCCAGACCGAACAGAATTTGATATCTCTGTCTGAAGACGATGTGGAGAGAGGGGTGTTTCTTTAAAAAAAAAAAAACTTACAGCTATGTAAATTCCAAGTACACCCGCTATACAAACAATGCCCACGTTATGTTTTGCCATCCAATTTTAGAGCAAGACTTAGAAATAAAATGTGGATGGAATAGGAGGTAGGATGGAATGGGAGAGCCGGCAAGGAGCCCAAAAGATGGATTTATGCAGATTAGGTTTGAAATTCTGATTTTCTCTCTAATTGTGTTTTTGCTATCATTGCAAATCCTTTGTACAGACAGAGACAGGGAGAATAAAAATATATAGAGGGTGCTCCAGGAAGAATTGGGTAGTGTGCCCAGAGCCCTAATTGCTTTTTCCACTTACAGAAATCTCGGGTGTTTATTAAATGTAACTTTCAGCTGCTTGCGTTGTTTGTAAACGGCTCTTTTCTGTGTAGACAGTGGGCTGAAATATGGCGCGTTATTATTCACATTCCTGCTATTAGATGCTGAATTGTAACATTGTTCCCTTTAATGAGAAGCGCCTCCCTCAATAATTAACGATCTCACATTTTCCTATTTTCTTGCCTGATGAAAAGAATCAATTTTAATTCGTGGTAAATTACAGCCATGCTTTGGGGTATTATTTGCTTACTGAAAACAAATCAAGTGACTTGAACACTCCTGTTTACTTTTCCAGATATGCAATAACCAAAAAGCAACTGTACATCAGTTGCTGGGGCCCACTTTGGAAGAAAAGATTAAAGGGCAGGGGGCAGGGAGGGGGCGAGGCCAGTTGCAACAATAGTGACCAGGATTTCTCCCAGACCAACCTTAGGCATCGGAACTGTTGCTCCCCAGCCCTCAGTGTCCACCCTGTTCTGGTAAGGGTCCTTAAATTACAGATGACCGCCCTGGAGATTCGGACTGCTCCACCAAAGGCTTGTTTGTGGGAGTGAGGGAGTGGAAAGGAGAGTTGAGAGAGTGCAGGCTCTACAAAGGGGTGCCTGGTGCTTCCCTGCTCCTCTGCAGGAGAGAACTCTCCTTTGCCAGCCAGAGAGAGACCAGAGCCAAGAAGACTCGGCTGAGTGACCCTGCCCGTCCACTGCAAAAGCACCCTCCTCTTCCGGCAGCCACTTCCCAGGGCAAGATAAGCATCTGTAACTCTTAGTCAAACAGGCTTGGGCCTAGGCTGAGCCTCCAAACTTCCCTAGCCCAGGAGCTGAGGGCCTTGAGATCCAGATGCACTAAAGCCAACCCAGCCTAAAGGGGAAAAGGGAAAATAAAGCAAAACAACAACAACAACAAATCGACTCCAGGCCCAAGCTCCCAACCTTTGTTTTCTGCTTCTTCCCTCACTGAGAGCAGCGCTCACGCATGGCCTGTGTACTTGTG